ATAATACTGATTTTCAAACAATGAAGAAATTTGTGAAAAATCTAATCAAATCATTTCTCTCAAGTGACACACAGGTGAGCAACTGTTGTCCCTCTGTCAGTAAAATCATGACAAAGACATAAAATAGCTACATTTTTATTTCTATTAAGTATTTTTTCTCTCTTTTTCAGTTTTCTGTTTCCCAGTTCTCTACTTCACCTGAGGTTCACTTTTACTTTAAGAAATTTTCCTCATCTGGATCAGTGGAGACTGACATCAATAGAATCAGTCAACAGAGAGAAGAAACTTACACCGCCAAGGCCATCAGACATGTTGTGTAAATAATGCAGTTATAATAGTGAAGAAGTGCAGTTACATTATTGTCCAGTTGATTTTTTTCCATAAATCTGATCACATTAAGTACTGTGTGGACTGTATGACTGAGGGAAGCCTTTTAAAAGACACACTGTACACAAACTTGTGCTTCAGAGTGTCATCTTCTACTGAGAAGATGATATGGCCTCAACTAAGGCTAAATTCAAATATTTGCTGAGTTTAATTTGAAAAAACAAGCAAAAAAAACCCCAAACAAGCAAACAAGCAAATAAACAAACTTGTATAACGTTGATCTGTGCAAAAGTTTAAAAAATTGCCAAAGAGAATGACATGCAGAAATAATAATAATAATGCGGTTTACCTGATTGTGTATAATTTACAAGATCAATTGTAAAACAATATTTTAAAATGAGATTTTTTTTTTCATTTGACAGGAACAATGTTTTCACACCACAAAGAGGTTCCAGACAAAATGTGAAGAAGGTCTTGATAGTAATTACTGATGGACAATCTTATGATCGGGCCGATCTGGGAGGTGCAGCACAGCTAGCAGAGAGTAAAAACATTGTTCGATTTGCTATTGGGGTAAGTACTTCCATTATTTAAACCTGCAGTATGTTGAGTTTTACAGTAATAATGAGTTTTATTCAGTTGTCACACTACAGTCACATTATGCTGCACTATAGGGAGAAAAATCCTGAACCACTCACTCACTACAGCTCCTGAAGTTGCTTGGCCATAGAAACCAATGTTATGAAATTCCCGTCGCACAGTTTTTGTCTAAATGTTTCCACTTTGGAATAATACCACTTAAAGTCAATCATGGAATATACAGGCAGACCAAATAAAATTTGGTGACTTGTTGCAGCAGTGCGATCATATTACAGTACTACACTTAAATTCAGTGAGCTCTTTAGAATGACTCACTCATTCACAAATATTTGTAAATTCAGACTGCATGGCTAAGGGATTGAATTTTTTATGCCTGTAATAATATGACTGAAAACACCCGAATTCAAAGATTAAGAGATTTAGTTACATGCTGGCCACACATTTGTATATGCACCATATAATGTACATGTAGTGCATTTATTTAAATCAAAGCCAGACTCACTGACCATGTAAAATTTAAATGAAGTCTCTTAAATAAAAGCTGAATTACTGATGGAAACATGAGATATGTGTGTAATACAAATACAGCTAGTAGAGGAAAAAATATGTGTAAAAACTATTTTATAGCATGACATAAATGTTATCATGGATTTAGGTTCTAAACCTGTTTGTAAATCAAGTGAAGTTTAACGAATGTATTTTAATAAAGTGAGCAAATAATTTTGCATAGTATGAGGACTCAAACATGTTTGTCAACAATCGTAGGTGGGGAATGCATTTGATACACCTGATGCCAGAAGAGAACTGGATACCATTGCATCGTCTCCCTCAAACAAACACGTCTTTCAAGTGGAAAACTTCAATGTACTTGAAGTAATAAGACAGAATCTGCAGGACAAAATTTTCTCAATCGAAGGTACAAACATAAATTTATTGTTGCAACTTTGTTAAAATTCCTGTAAATTTTTCAAAAATTAAAATAATTGCACTCTAATAAATGCTACTTTCAGCCGCTCACTTATTCACAAGGGATTTTTTTCACATTCATTATGAGGATCTGTGTCCTTCTGGAATTGAAGCAGTTAACTTTCATTTGTTGTGTAAACTGCTACAATAAGAAAAAACTAAAATTAGTACATTGTATTAACTTTATTGTACTGTATTCAGTAAAGTCACATGTAAAATCAAATGTAACTTTACATTTTGTGAAATGAGCAATAAATGTTGAGTAGTTTTAAAATAAACTGTAATATTTTTTTTTAATAATTACTTGAAGCATAATAAAAAAATGAACCTTCAAATTCAATTTGACTCATCGTGTCTCTCTTTTACCTTCTCATTTATTTTTCTGTTACAGGATCTCAAAGCAGTGGAGAGTCACTGGAAATGGAAATGTCTCAAGAGGGATTCAGTGCAGTTATTGTGCCTGAGGTAATTAAAACTACCTGAAACTCACCAGACAGTATAGTCATAGAAAGAAAGATTCACATGTGCCTTTTTGGCAGTTTTTAAGTTCTAATGGCAAATACAGTTTAAACACAGTCCAGATTTTAAATGCAAAATAAATTGTATATAAAATGTTTATTTGTCTGCACTGTAGGGAATTCAGACGTCTATTGTTGGTGCAAACGAGTGGAGGGGAGGCTACGTGCAATACACAACAGGAGGCCAGAAGCTGAAAACATATGAGGACGTGTATTTGGAGCCTGACAGCTATCTTGGTGAGAATAGTTTGCAAAACAGACATAATTTAAAAGGAGGAATCAGGAATCTTAATCTGTCATCTCCTTTTGAAAACCTAAATTCTAGGTTACTCCATGGCGATTGCTAAATCCTGGTATGGCTCTCTGACAGTTGTTGGTGCTCCAAGATATAAACACAGAGGAGTTGTGGTCGCTGTTAACAGAGAAAACTTGAAAAAACAAAAGATTGAGCCCTTTTCATCACAGGTATGCATTTGTAGCAAGACAGATATGAATTAAATTATAATTTCCATAGAAATTATTATCTCAGATACAAAAATAATAATATCTTCCTTACACAGTATCAGACTGGGGAATATTTCGGGGCAGAGGTGTGTACCATGGACATAAATAATGATGACATCACTGAGCTAATCTTCATATCAGCCCCAATGTACATGGAGCCTGATAGAGAGGGAAGAGTTTATGTTTGCAGACTAACTGGTTTGGTAAATCACGGTTTTATTTACTGCAGTTAAATTAATCGGTTTATTTGTCAACTTTCTTAATGATCATAAAAAATTCACTCTCCTCCTTTCAGTTTGTGGAGTGTAATTTTGATGATCCTGTAGTACTAAGAGGACATGCAGCTGTCAAAGGAAGGTTCGGCTCTTCTCTTGCTGTACTGCCTGATCTAAACTCAGATGGATTCAGGGATTTGGCAGTTGGAGCACCTTTGGAGAATAATGGTGAAGGCAGCATCTACATATTTAATGGCGAAGGAAGAGGAAGAATCAGTCCTACTTACTCACAGGTACACAACATCAAAGAACTCACAATGATGACTAACCTCAACTATCAAGTAAAGTCAATATTTTATGAAATCTGATTAATTAAAATATTTCAGAGAATTACTGGCTCTGAGGTCCAGTCAGGACTGAAGTTCTTTGGCCTGACAATCAGTCAGTCATCTTTTGATCAGAGTGGTGATGGACTGCTTGACTTAGCGGTGGGTTCAAAGGGCACAGTTGCCTTACTGAGGTAAGTCCAGGTAATGGTCAAATATTTAGGTACATTCTAAAGTTAAATATTATAAGTCTGGCACATTTACAAATATATTTTATTAAAAGCTTTAATGATTTATGTTCAATTATTACACAAATCATTAACAATAATTTACAGCATTTCTTTTTTGGGGGGTTTGGGGTATGATTTAGACCTTCTTCAATTTTTATTAAGTTTTTAGTTTCTGACTTTCTAGTGCGCCCCAGTGTTTCCGTTTATACTCATACTTACCTCTCTTACCTCTCTACTTATTTATTAGTTTATTATTTTCAGTTGTGTTTTGTTTCATTGTTTCCTATCTCCATCATTATCTGATGTTTTATACTGTCTGAGTCTCCTTCTTTTCCCTCTAAATAAATCCTATGATTTCTGGTTTTGAATCCCTTGCTTTTTTTTTTTTTTTGAAAGTATTCAGCATTAAAGCTGCCTTTTCAGTTTAGATATCATTTCTCAGGTCCATATTTTCCCTTTCACACAGCTTAACCCAGAGAATTAGATAAAATCAAAAGTTCTCTTTCAAAACGGAAATTCTCCCCTTTAAGAGTAAGAAACCTCTGTCTGAACACGGCTCAGGCAGGGGCAGCCATCTGCCATGCCGTTCACATGTATTTTCTTACTTTCCAGATCAAGACCCATAGTAATGGTGAGAGCTGAGGTATCGTTTAGCCCAAACAAAATCCCTACACAGAATGTAGACTGCTCAAAACCATCGGAGAACACAGCTCTTATCTGCTTTACTATGACCAGAGTGTCTACAGTCGACACAGGTTAATCATCCTTCTCTCTTTTTCTCAATTACTGCACATCATTTTATTTTTAATGTATTTAAACTTGCAACATTAAAATCAAATTCTATTTCTCTATTTTAGCTCGAGCAAGGATTGATTACACTATAACACTGGATGCCACTCGGAAGCCTCCAAACAACCGAGCTTACACCAGTGGGAAACAACGAGAGAAGTCTGGATCAGTTGATGTTGACTTAGGAAGACACCAATGTTCAACTGTAAAATTCCTCATTGAGGTAAGATCTAATAGCAATCTTAAAATAAAGTCCTTAAAAGTCATTAAACTTAAGATTTTATTTAATTAATTTTACTTTTAAGACTCCTCCAACATTGAATCTAAACCTCTTCTTGCAGGCTTGCCCCGAAGACGCTCTCAACCAACTTTCCAATGAGCTCAAATTCACGTTTAATAGTTTGGCCACAAACACCAACCTCAGACCAAGTCTTGCCCCGCAGGCCCAAACAACAGCCATTCATCCTGTAAGTAAATTTTTAAAAAACCTATTAATTGACCAAATGAGGCTAGTCTTTATGAAGTTATGAGAAACCTTTAGGTTTGCCCTTACCTTTACTGAATCCATTTTATTAAAGGCATGCATCTGACTAATGCTGCTTTGAGAGACTTCTGTTGAAGTTTTTTTTACAAGTTTATAAGCAATTCTACACCCCGGTCAAAAACATAAATAAGAAATATACTCTACATATAAGTTATAATATAATATGAATAAATGTACTTGCCCACTGGTTAATTACAAAACCATGTGAGGGGAGGGAACTCACAGCACAAGCTCCCAACCTATTATATGACTGTGCTGTATGTTATTATATATAATGTTATTTTTTTCCATAATGTCTACAAATGTCAAGAAGTCACAAGCAAAGTGAGACCACATCATAGTGATGTGTTACAGACAAAAATAGTATTTTACGTATTAATCACAACTTTTTACTTTTACCTTTACTTTCTCTACTCTACTTTTGCCACTGACGAGAACTTGTGCAGTTCTCACCTGCTTCAACAGTAGCAGCAAATTTGAACTTTCAAAAAAAGAACAAGTTCAAAATACACAAACCTTCACCTTATTAAAAGTGCTTCAGTCTAAGATCAGTTTCTTGGCTGTGCAGGGGACTAAGATGTTTTCCAGAAGTGGATGAAGAATATTAACAAAAATGTTGTTCCTGGTATAAAGTACCACTACTTGGTAAAACACACAAACTGGTTGCTGCTTATTAGCAACCAGCCATTGTTCCTCTTGGCCATCGGGCATTAATTAATGACTGATTGATGCTTGTTTTATTTTTGAATGCGGGTGGTGTGAAGGCAACCCGTCTACCTGCTGAGAATATTTGCAGAGTTATCAGATGACTTGATATCACAGTTACAAATCTTCTAAATATTACTGTCTCTTATAATTTTCGTATTTTTTCTTTATTTTTTGTTCATCTGTCAAAACAAATACCAACCAAAATATCAAAAAGTATTATGTCAGTGCCATACATTATTATTTATTATTAATTTATTAGTGAATTTTCAAACTGTAAATTACCATTACTTTTATTTGTGATGAAATAACCATCTCTGTGGTACCATTTGTTAACACATCTATCATATTGTTCCTCTGAGAACTGTAAATACATGTAGTATAGCACCTTGGAGAAACAGCGAAAAGATAACAATGACAAAAAGAATCTGCCAGGGAGAAAATTTAAGCTACAAATTAAAGGAGATCTATAAAAACACACTTCACTGTTACAGCAATGATATAAAATTTGCCAGACAATCCTACATCTCCCAACTGTTTAACAGTGATCAGTCTGCTTTTTTATTTTTCTTTCTCCCATCAATAAAGCAAAGGATGAACAACTTCATCCTTCCAAAACGAGACCAAGTGAATCTTTACACAAATAAATTTATCAACTTTGCTTCTTACTTACTCCAGAATAACATTTCTAATTTTAGAGATAATCTCTTAGTCTCTTGTAGTAATTTATCTGGCACCGCCTCAAATTCAAAACACCCAGGAAGCAGATAGATGAGCAAGTACAGATTTTCCTTATTGAACTGATGCATAAGTGTCATTATATTAGCAACAGCTCTTCTCAGACTGGCATTTTCCTTGTTTTTCTCAAATGTGCTGAAGATCAACAGTAATTCACAGAGTTTCAGTCTTAGTCCTGCTCAATCTTGACACTGTTGATCATGGTATCTTAATTCAAACACTTCACTATTCAGTTGATTTACCAGGTCAGACTGTTGATTACTTTTCATACTTAATACACTGAAATTTGTTTTAGGTCTACAAAAATGAACTGCAGTCTGGGGCTCCCAAAACATCAATACTTGGTCCATTACTCTTTAACCTGTGTATACACCTGTTTGATACAATCACAAATAGTGATGGGAATTGAATTTAGTGATTCTGATTCCATTATCAATGTCAATTATTGATTCAGTTCCGTATCGATTCACACTGCAGCCTCATTGGTTCTGACTGCCATGTGTCAATGTGTGACTGGTAGAGAGCAGACCCAAAATGCAGACACGGTGACAGGAGTGAGCTCAGAACAGCTTTATTACTGGAGTTGGGGGGGAAAAAAACACAAAAATATAAAAAACCCAGACTAAACAGACGCCAATAACTTAGTGAACTGAATGAACAGAGTACACAGAGGAGAGAGAATGAGGACAACGTGACAGAGATCAGAGGGAGACTCAGACAATAAATACACAGGAGGGAATCACGGCTGAAAGGAATCAAAAACATGATGCACAGAAGATAAGCGACGATCAAAATAAGACAAGAAACGCATCACACAACACAACGCAACACACATAATGTTTTGTGTTTACACTCAGTCTTTCAAATAGATGCAAGTAAAATTCAGCAAAAAATAAATAAAATCAAAGATTCAGCAGCACTAAGACCTGTCGCTCTTAAACCTGTTGTCACCTGTTTAGCACATTGACTGTTGGTTTAGCAGGAGAGGGGCGGGTGGAGGTTTGCCTGGTGCCGTAGTGGTCATGTCAGTGGAGGGACCCAGGGGTTTCTCTGTGAATTTCACATTCCTGTGGCAGCGTGCTCGGTGTTTGCTCAAATTTAAAGGTTAGTTTCTTGCTGTAGAAAGAAGTTTTCTTCCCATACACAGTGTACTGCGGATGCTAATGTTATTGTCACTTTTTATGGGATAAAACTTAAAGTAATGTAAGTACGTCAACACTTTAAAAGCTGCATGGTCGTACTCTCTCCTGCAATTCATATTATCCATTGAATTTATATATAATGAAATATGCTATATAAATAACAGTTAAAACTGTAAATAAAAAAATAAAATTGGATGACCATACAACCACTTATTTAGTCTTTAAATAATGTATAATGTGTACTTTTATAATGCTCTCTTCCACAGTTAGGGTTTGAGATCAACTGTGGCACTGACAACAAATGTGTTGATAACCTGAAACTGGATTTCAACTTCACCAGGTGAGGCACAGTTACAAAACTTAAGCTTTCCTTGTGTGTCTCGTTTTCTTCAAATGTGTTATTATTTACTTGTCATTTAACTTGTCCTTATACAACCATCATTAATATTTCGGAAACTGGTGACACTCAGTTGTTATTTGTGTTTTGTGCTAACCAGAAAATATTAGAATGTTAACTGATTAAAAAGGGATGGTAAAAATATGTTCTCATTATCTTAGAGCAGCCATTTTTACTGTACTGTGAGCTGAAAATTTGCATGGTTTATCAAAGCTCAAAGTACATTATATTTGGTATATTGTGACATTAGTATGGCTGTAGTTAGGGCTGGCAAAAATGATAATCACGATTATTTTCACTGAAATTGAGATCTTGATGATTTGACGATATTTATTTAACAATGACAAAGTACTGAATAATGGCTTTAAAGATTGTCAAAAAATAATATAAAATAGTGTGCAAATACTGATAACAGTGCAAATGTTTGCAATATAAAAAATAAATGAAAAATGTAAACATCTATGTTTAGTGAACTTCAAAATACTGCATAATATTTATGCATACAAATAACCAAACATCAAGGCAAGCTGTGCAATGTACAATGCACAATTGCATCAAACTGACAGTGAGGTATGTCAATTTGTAGTGTTGGTCTGTGGTGCAGCTACAACACCGTAGCAAAGTTTACACACTATGTCTACTTGATCCACGTCTGACCCCGCGAACCCATAATGTTTCCACACCACTGAAGTCGTTTTGCCTCTCTTTTCAACCAATGGCATTCTTTCTTCAGCAGCCATTATTCTCTCATCTGCAAATAACTTCTGCTTAGCTTTCCGAGCTCCCCTCGGGTCCTGTTGTGACATGTGTTCGAAACGCAGAGAGGTGCGCTCGATTTGCCACACGGAGCAGCGCGAGAGTAAAGCACGAGGGAGCACGGCTCAGTCATTTTTAATGATCGTTGAAAGCCCAGATCGTAATTTAGATTAAAATCTGATTAATTGAGCAGCCCTAGCTGTAGTCTTGTTTTGTTTTCCCTTTATTCTCATCCAGCTTCATATTCCACAGATCCTCAGAGGTTAAAGTGGGCATTGATGAGCTTTTGAATGTCACAGTCTCAGTGGAGAATAGAGGAGAAAACTCCTACAACAGTCGTGTTATTCTCACATACCCAGCTGGACTCTCCTACAGGAAGTTCACGAGTCAGCAGGTAAAGCATCAGATTCAAGTCTGTATCAGTTCATCACTGATCTGCTGCTCTTCCAATGAATCCAGCAGTCATTTTGTTTTCTAATAAAGGGAAGAAGTGAGTGCATCTCTTTGGACAGTGAAGATGGTTTATCACGAGGAAGGACAGACTGCACTATCTACAAGCCAATTTTCAAGAGCAAAACTAAGGTTTGTTTTTTGTACACTTCTAAACAGTTTATAAAAAAAGATACAAGACAATTTGATCTCTCTCTATTTCGATTAAGGTTTTCTTCATTATCACATATGGGATTGAAACAAACAGTCAACTTGAGAGGGAGATCTTTGTCACTGCAAATGCCACCAGGTACTGCTCCTTTGGCACAGATACTCTTAATTTATACTATGGCTCCACAGATACAGAACCCTTTTCTTTTCTTCTCTCTTGCAGTGGAAATCAGGAGCATGCACCTACAAGTGAACTCTACAAACAGAAATCGATTGATGTGAAATACAGCATTTTTCTCACATTTGAAAGGTATGAACTGTTTTACTTGATATAGGGTGAATTATTTGCAAAGCAATACAACTTTAAAATGTTATCAAAAATGTTTTATTCATTATTATTTTATTATCATGTAAAGCTCCTTCAGCAGCCATAATTTGACCCCTGGAATGAATAATTCACAGGAAGCAGTCCAACAAATAATCAAGGTAAAAACATGACTTCATCTAATATCAACATTCTTTAAAAGTTCATTGCACTGTGTCAGTCCTGAGCCTAATGCTTGGTTGTGTCTTTCTGGTTATATGTTTTAACTCTTATTATTAAGAGGGTAACTTTTAGTAAGGTTTAATACTAACAAGCAATGAAAGACACATTTTGTGATAAAGATTTCATTACTGATCAGTGAGCCCAGAGAGCGAAAGCTGCTGTTTAATCCAAGTTAATGTTGAACCACTGTGGACATGTCGTAGTCATGTGTATCCATTCATATGCTTGTGACAACTGGTTATATAACACCAAATTGGCAGCACTCAAAACACAAGTTACATCTTTTATACTGTCTGTAATTTACTCTTTATGAAACAAATATTATAACATTCACTTTCTACTTTATAACAGCTCTCCAAATAATTTTTAAATCTAAATTACAATTTGTTTATTAACCTTTTTATGTTTTTGAAACTCCATATCAACTTTAAATCAACTGTCAAGATAATTTTCAATACATCAATTATTAACCATTTAATTAATATTTATTTTATTATTATTTCACAAAAAACAAACAAACTATTAGTTAAAGCTGATTTATAAAATCTTAATTTTAACAGTGGTTATTTTTATTTTTTCTTTCTTTTAGATTACAAACTATATCAGAGCATTTAATTTCACTGTGGTGATCAGGGTTCCAGTGAAGCTTGGTGAAAAAGACATTTGGGTGGATTTGAGCAGCCTACAGGTGATTTATGTGTCAGACGTTTTAGCTGCTGACTTCAAACTGCATGTGTTAACATTAGGATGAATCAAAAACACTTAAAATTATTTTCAGATTGCAAACTGTCAGAGAGGAAATGATGAAGAACCACTTAACAAAGAATTTGTTGCTGAAATACAAAAACATAAAGTCGTGGTAAGTATGCTTCCGCACTTTTCCTGCTGTAATTTAACCTAATTCTAAATACGTGTATATAAAATTATATTACTCTGAATCACAGCTTGGTTACATTCAGTCTTCTTTAAATCACCCACAGGACTGCTCTGTAGCCACGTGCAGAGTGTTCAAGTGCAACACATTTATGGGAATATGGGAGAGTAGGATGTATGAAATTTCTGCCAACTTCAGTTCAGGATGGATAGAGCAGGTAATTGATGTGTATTTTATGTTAAGTGTTGTATTAGTAAATATTTTTAGAATTAAAACAACTGACTCCATATATATCTCTTCTTAAATTAAACAGCAATGCATATCTATTTTAGGCTCATCTCAATCTATTTTTTTTTCTTAGATTGGATTTCAATCTGCGAAATTCCTCCTAACCAGCACAGCCAGTCTGGAGTATGACAAAAACCAGTACATCTACTTTTCAGCGTGGACGAAAAACAATCCTCCTGTCCACAAGGTGATTACACAATATTTTCTCTCATTTAAGTTAACAAAATGATGAATTTTATTAAAATATGTTACCTCATCTCTTAGATTGAGGCAGAGATAAAAGTGTATTCTGAACCAGATTACATTAAAGAGATAATTGGAGGATACATTGGAGGTTTGGCTGTTACTGCTTTATTCACTGTTTGCCTGTACAAGGTGAGAAAGTCTATACTTCTGTTTTTTCAGTCACTCACACAGCTTCATGAAATAAGAGAATACATGATTTAAATTTCTTAAACGTTGATTATTTTTTTAGTTCTTTTCATTATTCATGGTGCGACTCTTAATATGTGAATACAATCATTTTACACAATACATTTTGTCTTCCCAGGCTGGATATTTCAAGAGTGATTACAAAGAGATGATAAAATAAAATCAGGAAGAAGCAGAGGGTCCAGGTACGGATGGAGGTCCAACCACAACAGAATAAAAAAATATTCATTCACTTTACTTTCCTCAGCCACCAGACCTTGTATTGCAGATTTTTTTTTTCTTTAGCTTTTTGTAGAATTAGCGACGCCCATATAGTTGACTGACTAAAGAAAAAACCGTTTACTGTGTCTGACATCATTCCCTCATTTACGCATTTTCTACTGAATGATGAGGTTCACAGTCAGAACTCAACAGGAGGCCACAAAATAACCTGAAGACATCAAAGTTTTACTTTATTTTACTTTAAGGAAATATCATATGTAGTCCTTTAGACTTATAGTTTTTTAGGGTCTGTCTGAGCAGGAAAATCCAATTGTTAATTAACTACTTAGATCACACAGGTACCTGAAGGCAAAATATCACAAGTGGACACGGGTCTCTAGAAATCATATAGAAAAACAGAAATCATCAGGAATTGATTTCTGATGTATTATTCTTATAATTTGGATCCCTAAATGAAATAGACTGAAGGTTTAATGTAACTATATGAGAAGATGGAGTGATTATGTCCTGTGAAGTATTATAGTGGGAAATGTAAAATAGCTTATCAAGAATATGCTCATGACTGCACATCTAAATTTAACATTTTCTATGTTTATATTTTTACAAACATCATTTGAGTATGATGAATGTAAATTTGTGTGAAATTAAAAACATATGCTTAAAAAGATTTAGCTTGAGAAAGAAATCAGCTGTAATTTGTTAAAACTGTCACTCATTATGTAAATTGCTTTGTTCATCAATAAACAAAATATATAATAATTGCTTCTGAAATATCTCAAAACATCATTTTTATGCTTAATCAACGTTTAATATAGTCATGATGTAATTAGAATTACATTTTGATTTTGTGCTTAAATTTACACCATTTTTAATTAGACAACAGCTTCAGAATGCACAGAACAGACATATTTATGTATAATTAGCTCACAGAAACATACCAAAACACTTCAAAATAATGAAGTTTTCTAGTTAGAAATGTAAACTTCTTTTGAAATGTTTATGTGAATTAGTTTTTTTCATTTTGATCTGAGCATAATCAGTACATTAAATAAATATGAATGGGTGGACAACAGGAACATGGAGATAATGAGGACAGCAAAAGGCAGCAAAAAGGAAACTCTGTAATCTGGTGAAATCTTTTAAAAAGTGCTGCAGGAGGTGATGTTTCACTAACAATCTCCTGTAAGAATGACCCAACTATCGAAGTTTTGGTAAAGATGTCAACATCTGCATGGCTCAGTTTACATCCACTGATTGTTACGACGGCAACTTGGAACCATGAAGACTCTGCTCTTATCTCCATGTGGATGTAAAACAGGATTCATAATCAGTGAGATCCAAACACACCCAGTCTGAAAGCTTTATACGCACAGATATATATATATAATTTATTTTTATTTATTTATTTTCCCCATTCATATTCAGACTCACTTAAGAGTCTTGTTAGAAACCAGGACAGATGTAGTTGCTGTCAGAGTCCAGCCCGCTGGAGATGAACTGCACAAATCCTGGCCTATTAGAGCGAATGCGGGACTTGATCCAGGACTGGTAACGGGACACTCTGGAGTAGACTCCTGGCAGATTGGGCCGAGCACAACCAAAACCAAAACTTACAATTCCAGACTGGACCCAAACAGAGCCCTGTTTACTCACCATTGGACCTCCGGAGTCTCCCTGTAGAGATAAAGAGGACACATCTGAGAATCTTTGAAACACCTGATTATGTAACCAAATGAGATGAGGAAGCCTACCTGGCATGAGTCTTTGCCTCCTGCCAGAACACCAGCACAGATCATGTTGTCTGTGACTATACCCACTCCATTCAGGCAGTTACACTGTCTGTTTCCCACAACTGGCACCTCCACTTCTTGCAGCGTTTGAGGGAAGGGTAAGGCCACTGATGGGAAGAAAGATGAGGAGCTGTTTACACACAAACCAATGAACCACAGAACACATGAACACTGAAACACCAACAACAGCCTCACCTCCCTCCTTGACTGTACCCCAGCCAGTCACCCAGCTATCAGTGCCATTGTTGAACACACTCCCACTCGCTGCCAGGCACACAGGTCTGATGTAGTCAGTGAATCTGACTGGTGAAGAGACTTTGAGCAGAGCAATGTCGTTGTCGTAGGACTCACTGTCATAGTTTGGGTGCAAAATGATTTTGACAACATTTCTGGACACCTTATTTGGATTTTCACCCTGCAGGCTCTGAAGACCAAGAGAAACCTTCAACCCAGAGGGACTTGAACTAAAGTTATAGAAATGAAAAGAAAATATAGAAGTTTTGACAAAAAAATGTACTGTAAACATTTGTCATTATGCTGCATTTGAGCTGGAAGAGTAAGAAAGCTTGGGTCAGTTTTTCAACATTTATGTTCACAAAATGTTTCAGGAATTACATAATTTTTAGAATTCCCAATCTGGTATTTGCCTTTTTAGACAAATATTAGTCAAAGTCCTGTTCTAGGTGGATCAGTTTAGGTATAAAGATTAAACAGATGTTTGTGTTACTCACCCAGAGAAGCAGTGAGCAGCAGACATCACCCACTCTTTGTTGATGAGGGAACCGCCACAAAAATGTTTACCAAATATCTGCACGCTGACCTGCCACGGCCAGTATCCAGGTGGAGCATCTTCACCTCCCACTATCCTGCCGTTGAGTGGAGCAGTGCCACATACTGAAACAAAGATCAGCAGGATCAAACTTCAGAAGCAACATAAATCATTGTAGGAACACGGAAAACATTTTTTCTGTTTTTATCTGGATCCCTGTTAATTTTTTTATTTTAAAATACATAATTAATATTAAAAAAATAATAACTTTTAATAAATGATTTGGTTTTTTAATCAGAGAAACTGTTGTTTTACCTACCATCAGGCTGAGCATTTGATTCTAGAAAGAAACACAACAGGATCAGTGTTGTTCATGAGAGGAGACAATTTTGAGATCCTATTTTAAAAGGTTTTATGTGAAAATATATATTTGCATTTATATTTTCATTTAAAACATTTATGTTGCATGCACATGTTGGCATAAGCCTGACTTACCTGCTGCCAGGAGGCTCACCAAAGCAAATAAATGAGTCCACTGCCTCAACGCCATTGTGTAAATTCACAGTTCTTGTGTGTCCCTCTTTTTGTACTTGTCACCCAGCTAGCAGTGAGTGGCAAATATATAAGCAGAGTGTCACCTGCCACTATGTTTGCCCCGCCCATGTGCACACCCCACAGCCAGAAAACTGAAGCATTTCCTTCTACCCTTAATTTCTGGGACAAAGATTTAAAGACCACAGTGCAATTTAAAAAATATATATAATTTTTTTTATATGTCATATTTGTAATAAACACGAATATTGGCAGTAGTTTTCGTTACAGACTTCTGCCCTTTTTACAGTTCTGTATTTCTTTCCACATTAATATTCTTCTCAAAGTCATCGAAAAACCTCCCTGTGGATTGTGAACCAAATAAGGAGATTAAATATGTAAAATATCCAAAGACTGAGTCAGCGTCATCTGCTGAGATTGTGGTAAAATTCTGTACAAGTCAGTCAGTTTACTATATTGACATAAAATTATATTTCAGTGACAAAATATTTACTGGTTTTGTCATGTGTCTTAATGACTATCCAGTATCATGTTGTCATGATGTGACAACTATTTACATCACATTCAGAAAACATTATGACTAATTCCCTTTACACCCTAACACTAAAATTGTTTCTGTTAATTTTTTGCCTTGTCATGAATCATTTCATACTTCATGGTTACAAAACAGAAACATAATATCTATAGATGGTTATAAAATATATTTTTTAAAAGTCACCTCTGATATTCTAAACTGCCTGAAACCAAAGATTTATACAGATATAACCATGTTAAAATATTTTGTAAGATAACCAAGACAAATGCACCATGAGACTGAAGCAACTTTCTGCAGAGCTCTGAGACATTCACAATATCACCCAACAGATCTGGGAAGGCTATAAAGAATGGCCATAATGGCCAATGAAAGTAGTCTGATAGGCTTCTCGAAGTAACAAAGAACCTGGTGATCATTCCAACTAAGCTTCAGAAATCCTGTAAACAATCTCAGTGCAACACTCCAGCATATCTTAGATTTATGGCAGTGGTCAGATGTTTGGTCTCACTTCTGCCATGATGAGTGTGGCATCAATAATCAGCTGCTCAATACAATTCAGCATAACAGTGAAAGCATTGTGTTATAGGAATGTTTTTCAACTAATTAAAACCTGTTAAGACTGATCAGAAACTGAATGTAGAAATGCATAGAGACATTGTTAAGGTAAAAATGGAGCTCTAAATGTACCACGGGCCCAGAATGAAGGTCTTAAACTAAAGAAATCTACCGTAAAAAAGAAAGTTTCTCAATTGCTGGTTTTTGTCAGCACTCAGTTTAATGGAACTAGTGACTTTCACATCTGGAAAAAACACAATTAATGCTGAAAAGTATATACACATATGCTCCCATCCAGATGGCATCTTTTTTTTTTAGAAAAGGCCTTTCATATTTTAGCAAAACAATGTTTAACCACAAACTGCACTGATTACAAAGGCATGCCTTTGCAGAAGACGAGTCGAAGTGCTGAACTGCCCTAGCTGCAGGCCAGACCATTCACCAACCCAAAACTGAAAATTTGGCCTATCAACCATTCCTTTAACGTTAGCTAGTAATGACTTCATGTAGTTCTTCACAAATAAAATTTTAAGAGAATTTTAATTTTGTTATCTACAGCTCCTTTCATTACCATTTATTTAGAGTCTTTTTCTCCAATTGATCTGTCTGAGTTAATTTCAGTAATTACTTCCTCCAAACCATCAACATGTCTTTTAGACCCCATTCCTACAAGACTGCTCTAAGAAGTCCCACCATTAATTACTCCAACCAGTCTCTAATAATTAGATATGTACCACAGGCCTTCAAGCTGGCAGTAGTTAAACTGGAACTTATAAGGCCATCTTATAAGGCCATCTCTTGGCCCAGCAGTCTTAGCTAATTATAGGCCAATCTCCAACCTTGCTTTTCTCAGAAATTCTTGAGAAAGTAGTTATAAAACAGCTAACAGATCATCTGCAGAAGACTGACCAATTTCAAGAGTTTAAGTCAGGTTTCAGAGCCCATCACAGCACAGAAACAGCTTTAGTGAAGGTTACAAATGTTACAAATCTTCTTCAGTGTTCGATACCATTAGATCCTGTCGACCATAATATTCCATTAGAGTGATTAGAGCATTACAGCAATAGAGTATTACAAGTACTGCACTGCAGTGGTTTGTATCATATCTATCTAATAGACTCTAATTTGTACATGTAAATGGAGAGTCCTCTTCACACACTAAGATTAATTATGGAGTTCCACAGGGTTCCGTGCTAGGACCAATTCTGTTTATATTATACATGCTTCCCCTGGGCAGTATCATCAGAAGTCATAGCATGCATTTTTATTGCTATGCAGATGATACTCAACTTTATCTATCCATGAAGCCAGATAACACACAGCAATTAGTTAAACTGCAGGACCTGGATGACCTCTAATTTTCTGCTTCTAAATTCAGATACAATTGAGATTATTGTACTGTCCCCTGGAAATCTTAGAAATATGGTTTCTAAACAGATTCTTACTCTGAATGGCATTACCTTGGCCTCCAGTAACACTGTGAGGAACCTTGGAGTTATTTTTGACCAGGATATGCACCTTCAATTAAACAAATATGTAGAACTGCTTTCTTCCATTTGTACAATCTCTCTAAAATTAGAAATATCCTGTCTCAGAATCACGCTGAAAAACGAATTCATGCAATTATTACTTCTAGGCTAGACTACTGTAATTCGTTATTATCAGGATGTCCTAAAAACTCCCTGAAAAGCCTTCAATTAATCCAAAATAGTGAACACCATATCACCTAGAGCACTTTGCTCTCGCACTGCAGGCTTGTTGGTCCTCAGAGTATTTAAAAGTAGAGGCAGAGCCTTTAGTTTTCAGGCCTCTCTTCTGTGGAACCAGCATCCAGTTTGGATTCGGGAGACAGACACTATCTGTACTTTTAAGATTAGGCTTAAAACTTTCCTTTTTAAAAAGCATATACTTAGGGCTGGATCAGGTGACCCTGAATCCTCCCTTAGTTATGCTGCAATAGGTCTAGGGTGCTGGGGCATTCCCATGATGCATTGAGTATTTCTTCTTCAGTCACCTTTCTCAGTCACTATATCTTAATAGACCTCTCTGCATTGAAACATACTTGTTATTAATCTCTTCCACAGCATGTCTTTTGTTCTGTCTTCCTTCTCTCACCCCAGTCGCTTGCGGCAGATGGCTGCCTCTCCCTGAGGCTGGTTCTGCTGGAGGTTTCTTCCTGTTAAAAGGGAGATGTTCCTCCCCACTGTCGCCAAGGTGCTTCCTCATAGTGGGTCATATGATTGTTGTTGTTTTTTTTGTCTGTATGTATTATTCTAGGGTCTACCTCACAATATAAAGTGCCTTGAGGTGACTGTTGTTGTGAATTGGTGCTGTATAAATAAATTGAATTGAAAATGGAAAATTGAATTTGTCCCTGGGGCATTCTAAGTGTAGAATGTAAAAAAGAATTTACACAATTGTATAATGAGCTTCCCATGACAAAATGTGACAAAATGTTAGGGGGAAAACACTTTCTGAGTGTACTGTGTGACTTATCTAAAAGAAAAGTCTAAAAAAAAACCCAAAACAAAACAAAAAACACTACAGTCTGGCATCAGCTAGTTGAGTTATTCATCTTGTTCCTGCAAAAGACAGCTCATGATACAAATCACTGGATTTGGTCATTATAATTAAAAATAGCAGTCACCAGATGATGGTTAGGGGGGTGGATTGTTATCATGTCCTCACACATGCAGACAGGCGATAAATGCGGGGATTAGGTGTCTTTGTAATGTTTTAGGGGTTTAATTCTGATTCTATGTATTTATATATATGTATGGATTAGTTTGCATACAATTTTGTGTGTTTCATTCGACATTTGTCCACACTAGACTCTGTTCAGGGAGGTTGCTGTGGTCTGCTAGTAGATCCACTAGCCACCAAGCATTGCTGTTCTGTCCTGCTTCCTTCTCCCTTATGCTCTTCCAGTATTGCTCAGTCTGGTCAGTCTGGTCAAGTCTGAGATGCTGTTCTCATATTGTTCCCCTGCCACTCAGAGTACACCTTCGATAGTTCTGTGAAGAACAGCCGGTTTATTCTCCTGCCTTCTATTTGACTGCATGTTGGCTGTTCACAGCAAAATCTTCCAAATACAAGCACCACACCTCCAATCAACTCAACTTCTTTTTTCCTTTTTCAGGCACAGTTTCTGTAGATCTTTATTCTGTGCTATTTTATCATCTATCTGAAGAAGCTTTGTGCTGCACTTTAAGTCTACACCTTTTAGACCTTACAACTTTTTGCGAGTTCTTCTCATTATTGTTTCTTTTCTGCTTGCTTTTTTAGCAGTTCTTTATATTTCTGTTATATTTCTTCATAAGTCACCATCAAGTGTGGGATCTACCAAGGAGATGCACTGTCCCCACTACTGTTCTGCAAAGGCCTGAGCCCCCTCAGTGATATCATCAAAAAGACTGTCTATGGATACCGACTTTGGAATGGAGCAGTCATCAGCCATGTTCTCTACATGGATGACATCAAGCTGTATGCCAAGAGTGAATGAGACAATCGATTTATTGATCCACACCACCAGGATATACAGCAGTGACATCGGAATGACTATTCAGATTGGAGAAGTGTAGTTGGATGGTACCAAAGAGAGGGAAAAACTGAGGGAGCTTGAACTACCAAAGACAACATTGCAGACATTGAGGACAGCTACAAGTACCTGGGAATCCCACAGGCAAATGGGAACAACGAGGAGCCCGCTAGGAAAGCTGCAACCACCAAGTACCTGAAGAGGGTCAGGCAAGTCTTGAGGAGTCAGCTGAACGGTAAGAATAAGGGCTATCAACACCCACACCCTGCCCATGGCCAGGTACCCTGCTGGCATAATAAGCTGGTCAAAGGAGGAGATAGAAGCCACTGAAATCAAGACAAAGAAGCTCCTGACCATACATGAAGGGTTT